AGACGACGTATCGGAATATGCGAGGATCAACTACGTCTGTGTTTGTGTTAAAAAAAACAACGTCCATGTATTCACTTTGCCTTGTCAACAATTAGTTGTACCGAAGGCGAAGTGTTCGTGGCATCCTAGACATCCATCCATACATTGTGTGTGGCGTGAGCAGGAGGCAGCCCACACGGGTTGTGTGTGGGCGAACATTAGAATTGTCCATATGTATGGGCGCAGCTACTTCGTGCCACACGTCCAACAAATACTACTCATCCTCATCTCACGCGTGTGGCACGAAACAAATATGCCCACATGTCCTGGCGCAACTACGTTAGGTAACCGCGGCATGACGATTTAGTTGCCATCCGAAATGGCAGATGTAGTTATTCGGGATGACAAATGTATCTGTAAAAGCATCACAACTCTCTCTGTTTTGATTAACTATAATTGTCATGTCTAATTTATGGTAGTTGTCACGTGCAATCAAACCATAGTTGGCGTGTCCACGTGTGTGATTAACTACTTGTCACATATGGTCAAACATGTGTGCTTACCTAGTTGCCATGTGCGATCTAACCATAGTTGGCGTGTCCGCGTGTGTGATTAACTACTTGCCACAGATGGTCAAACATATGTGCTTACCTAATTGCCACGTGTGATCCAACCATAGTTGCCATGTATGGTTAATCACGATTGTCATCTGTGTTTAGCTGGTTGCCACGTAAGCGTAACTGCAGTTGCCGTCTAGCAACGAAATATAGTTGCCATGTATGTTTACCTAGTTGTCATCCAACAACATATGAGTGTCGTGTGGGCGAAAAACAGTTTGTCCATACGAGCGTATACTAGGTGGTGGCTGTATGGATAAAAACTAGTTCGCTCACACAACGCAGTTGGCAAACTACGTGTTGTGGGGCGTGTGGGTGAATTTTTCAATACCCACACATACGATGATGCACATGTGGCATTTAGATTCTAACAGATTTCTTTAGGGTTCGTGCAAAATAGAATCAACATGGATTAAGGCGTGCGGGTGATATGCAAATATGCCATACATGTGGACACGTCAACAACAACACGTATGTATACGACACTAGACATCTAGAAGTAGAATCTGATCAAGGATTAGTAGCGTATACAACTTCATAAGCATCTATGTTAATTCTCGGGAGACAGGAAGAAGCCTGCCACATGACGATCCTGAGCTATTATTTATATATTTTAGCGGGCACTAAGCTGACGCATTGTAACCACGCCCCGTCGTGTTAAATAAATCTAGGGTATTAATAACTGCCACACGTGTGGTGTATCAGATAGTTGTGTCACACGCCTCGTGTGGCATGGACAGCAACCAGCCCACACACCTACGTGTGGGCAAAACAACTAATGCCCACACACATTTTTCCCCTCCTAAACCCTCTCACACGCGTGCGTGTGGGCGAAGTTGATAACGCCCACACGCCCGTATGTCAGGCCTCGTACTCTTTTGGTCTCGCACGCGACGCGTGACGCCCACCACGCGCCCGCAGTTGTCATGGTCCAGACTCTCGTCCATGTCGTTTATCTGCAGTTGCCATGTCGCTGAACTACGGTTGCCATGTCGGACAACTGCAGTTGCTATGGTTGCTCAACTGCAGTTGCCATATATGGTCTTATCTAATATAGTTGCCATGATTTCATAACTTTAGGAGTTGCCACATACTAACACTAGGCAGTTGAGAGAGTTGCCATGTGCTCACAAGCATGCTAGGGCAGTTGCCATGTAAAAAAGAAGAGTTGTCATCTGCTTACGTGCATGTTAGTGCAGTTGCCATGTACGTGCACATTGGGGCAGTTGCCATGTACCATGCAAAAACACATGATAACTCGGTAAAAGACAGTTGCCATCTACTTACGTGCACACTAGGCAGTTGCCGTATACCCTGCAAAAACACATGGCAATTCGGGTAAAAAAAGAGAGTTGTCACCTGCTTATAAAGCACACTAGAGGCAGTTGCCATGTGCGCTGTAAAACGCATGGTAACTAGCAGCTTACGTGTGAGAGAGGAGACGGGCGTGTGGGCGAGATGGCAAATGCCCACACACCAGCCCTTGTGTGTGACTGAAAATTGGTGTGTGGGTGAACTGCTAAACGCCCACACACTGGCCCCTTCGTGTAGTAAAACGGATGTGTGGGCGAATTATGTCACACACCACACACACGTCTTGTCCTACGTGGCACAGAAAATCAGCCAGATTATATCAAAATTCATGCATATAGTACTGGACGATGATGGATGCGTGTGGTCGAGATGGTTAACGCCCACATGTGGGCGTTAACATTTCCGTAAATCTATGCTTTGACTTACTAATATGATACTATGATCAAGAACAGAGAACTTTCGCAGGCATGCAAGTCGCAACACTGCTACGTGGCGTATTTGTTTATTAATTGTAGAGATCGATCAAGTTTTGTTGCCAGATTTTGGTCGATGCTCCTTCTATAATTTCTTGGTTTTCCGAGTTTTTGTCCAAAGGACTGTTGGAATTTTGCT